AATTTTTCAGGCGGAAATTTCCGGAGGTCATGTGATATTCCGTAAATCGACGCCTAATTAAATTTCCTGATGTATAAAAACAGGAGAGTTGGGTAATATAGAATCAGGAGAAGTAGATAATATAGAAATGGGAAAAGTGATAATATTGAAGTGGATAATAATAGAGAAGTGGGTAATATAGAAGTGAGTAATAATAGAGAAGTGGATAATATAGAAGTAGATAATAATAGAGAAGTGGGTAATATAGAGACGGGAAAAGTGAGTAATATAGAAATAAAAAAGTGAAAAAAGTGGGTTAATATAGAAGCAGGAAAAGTGGACAATATAGAAGCAGGAAAGTGGGTTAATATAGAAACGGGAAAAATGAGTAATATAGAAGTGAATAATAATAGAGAAGTGGGTAATATAGAAATAGGAAAAGTGGATAATATAGAAGTGAAAAAAGTAAATAATATAGAAGTGGAAAAATGGATAATATAGAAGTGGTAATATAGAAATGAAAAAAGTGGATAATAGAAGTGAAAAAGTGTGTAGTATAGAATGGGAGAAGTGGGTAATATAGAAATGGGAGAGGTGTGTAATATAAAATCGGGAGAAGTGGATAGTATAGAAATAGGAAAAGGGATAATATTGAAGTGAATAATAATAATAAAAAAGTGGGTAATATAGAAGTGGGTAATAATAGAGAAATGGGTAATATAGAGATGGGAAAAGTGGGTAATATAGAAGTGAAAAAGTAGGAAAAGTAAGTTAATATAGAAGTGGAAAAAGTGAGTAATATAGAAACAGAAAAGTGAAAAAAGTGGATTAATATAGAAGCGGAAAAAGTGGGTTAATATAGAAACGGGAAAAGTGGGCAATATAGAATCAGGAGAAGTGGATAATATAGAAACAGGAAAAGTGATAATATTGAAGTAGGTAATAATAGAAAAGTGGGTAATATAAAAGTGGGCAATAATAGAGAAGTAGATAATATAAAGATGGGAAAATTAGGTAAAATATAAATGGAAAAGTAGGAAAAGTGGGTTAATATAGAAGCGAGAAAAGTGGAAAAGTGAGAAAAGTGGATTAATATAGAAGTGGGAAAAGTGAGTAATATAGAAGTGGAAAAGTGGGTTAATATAGAAATGGGAAAAGTGAGTAACATAGAAATAGGAGAGGTGGATAATATAGAAACAGAAGAAGTGAGTAAATAATAGAGAAGTGGGTTAATATAAAAATGGAAAAAGTGGGTAATATAGAAGTGGATAATAATAGAGAAGTGGGTAATATAGAGATGGAAAAAATAGGTAATATAGAAGTGGATAATAATAGAGAAGTGGGTAATATAGAAATGAGAAACACTGTATCAGGTATCCAATAGGTATGCGATAGGTGCCCAATTTTCAATAAATTTTAATATATTGAGCTCCTGATATATACATGTCATCAAAACTATTAAATTGAGTCAGATGTAATTAAAATTAGAAAAAATTGGAATTGAGTCAAAGAACCCTTTTTTTTAACAATGACGCAAGACGCAATTTTTGACGCAAGACGCAACTATTGACGCATGACGCAATTATTGACGCATGACGCAATTGTTGATGCAAGACGCAATTATTGACGCAAGACGCAATTATTTATATAGACACAATAGGTTTTCATAGGTTACAAAGGATTTATAAACTTTTGATTTCTAAAAAAATTAAAAAATTTTTTTTTAACCAGGTCTCAATTTTAATCTCTAAAAATTTTGC